CCCCAGCAAAGATGAAACCAGCCAGAGTCTCCTGCATGTGGAAACCCAAACGTGCAGATGTTTTCCTGTCCTGGGTGCTGCCTGAGAGCAAACGAGGAGGCAGGAACAGTCTGAAGGAACCAGGCAGAATGCCCACGCTCTGCCCCAACCTGATCGATGCATGCTTGCGGGGAAGCACCCCAGATCCACCCTGGAGCCCTCAGATATAAAGTAAACCCAGCAACAAGGAGTTTCCCCACTGTGTAGCTAGCACTGCCAGGCACTGAATACCAAACGGATGAGCTTTGCCTGCTTTCTGCTTATTACACAGCTGAGTTAACCTCAAATTTCTGTTTACCTCAACCCCGATGCCTAGGGCAGTTTCAAGGTTGCACCGATGCCTTTGCAAAGCTAGTACTGGAACAGGCACAAAGCCGTCGTTTTATTTATTGCATGGACCGATGGAAGGGAGAACTGCCTGATGAGCTGCAGCTCAGCCCCGCCTTTCTTCTCTTTTTAAGGGTTGTAAAAAGCAGCTGCTGTCAGTTTGCTGCTCTGCTCCTTCCTCTTTTGACTCTTTGTGAAAGGAGAAAGCACTTCATGTCTTGGCGTGAGCTCCTTCCCCCCTGTCTGGTGATCGTAGCGGGACTGACGGGCATCATGCTTCTTTGCGTCTCCACTAAAGATGTGCCCATCACCCCTCTCAGGACCAAGGTAAGGGCATTCGCCTGCCCGAGGGGCGACCACGCCGGGGGCCAAGCGGGGCAGCAAGCAGGGAACCTCCTCCTCATCCGTGGGGCTGCTTCTTAGGGAGAACCTGCCTTGTGCAAGCCAGGCATTTAAACTAAAACCTGGTGCGTTTTGTTGCTTTTTACATTCATTGCACTTCTGACTTAGTTACTAGCCCGAAACAACAAACTGAAGAGGGGACTAGAACAAGACTGCAAGGATGGGTTTGCCTCCTTCAACATGCTGTAGCTTTTCAAACCAAAACGAAGCCAACCCCTTTGGCTGGTCAGGGAAATTCAGGCTGGATATCATCCAGCAGAGGTGCTCACCACAGGCTGAGGAGAGGCAGCCCATGTCAGGAGCTACCCCAGAGTGGCAAGGGACCAGTGGTGTCAGTGGAGGGAAAGACCCTCTTGAAAGTCAGTAGGAATTTGGCCCTGAACTGCTGCTTCTGAGGTTAAAAAATAAATAAATAAAAAAAATTATCTTCCATGCCTTCTGTCCTCTCTTGATTTAACTGAAGGGCCGACCTGCTCTGCACAGCGGGGTCAGATCTGCCCAGTGACCAGGAGGTTAATGCCCATCATCTCTGCCTCTTGATGCACCGCTGCTGAGGTGAGATCAGTGGCACGCTATGATTTACTCAAACAGAAGTAGGTTAACCTGTGCGTTTAGAGATACTACTCCTCCTCCATGCTCCTCTCAGAAACAAAATCAGATTAAAAACCCCCTCATCACTCCATGCTCTGCCCAGCGAGCGCTCTGCCCTTCCTGGTGTTGAGCTGGGGCAGAAACGCAGTGATCCCCTCTCCTCCCTTGCACTCCCAGCAGCAGCCTCTCATTTTGTGAAGGAGGAAGAAAATCCAGGTTTCTCTGCCAATACCATTCATTTCTTCCTCTTCTGCAGCAGCCGACATGTCCCTGCAAGAAATATGTCCTGTCACTTGTGTGGGAGGGTGCCAGCAGGCTTGGACAGGGAGCTCTTGCATTTTTGCTCCAGCTCCAGTCCCACCAGCTTCTGGCCCAGGCACTGTGTCTGGTACAGCTGGGAGCTCCCAGGAAGGCAGCAGGCAGCCAGCTTCGCTCAGAGGCCGCAGCCAGGCTCTGTCTTTGTGCTTAAAAGCCTTCTGACGGTGTTAACATCAACCTCTCAGGAGGTTTCTCCTCCCACTCAGTCACAGCTTACAACTATTTCTGTACAAGATACAGCTTAGACCATGCACTACCATGTACCTCCCAGATCTAACAAGTTTCTTTCCCATCTGCATAGGAGATGTCCCAGTTTGGGATCATGCAATAGGGGGGGAGAGGAGGAGACCCTAGGCTAGCACCAGGACTATTTTGAGCGTGGGGACATCCAAAACAGCCACAGAGCTGTGCTGCAGGGTACCCCAGTGGCCTCTCATCTCCTAACCTCACATACGAGGTGCAGCTCAACAAGGCTCAGTCAGCAGCAAACAGGCCAGACGCTGGGCTGCAAAGAGACTAAGAAAGCCCTCAGCCTCCCTGCTAGGCAACAGGAGAACTGTCAGAGGACAAGGTGTTGAGAAATCCCACGTTCCCTGCTGCTGTTTCTGCCAAGCCAATATCTCGGTCTCCCCGGGGCTGCTGCGTTGGGCAGTGTATGTGCTGGCTGGTCCCAGCACACTGCAGCTCCCACAGGTCTGGCACGTGTCAGGGCAAACCCAGCCCGTGTCATGCCATCTCGGCAGCTGGGCATCAGAGCTGGGAGTCTCGGGTTCCTCAGAAGCAGGAACAAGCTGCAGACCTCCAATTCCTGCACAAAGCCCTTATCTCTCTAGCAAAAAACCAATCCAGCAGCAGTTTGAGTCACAGAATCAGCTGAGAGTCTGTATAGTGCCCTCTCCTACTGCTTTAGGACCTGTTTCTCCTGAGCTCCAGATGCTTCAGCTCTCAGAGGAAGCCCTCTACCTGATTTCAGGAACAGCTACAGAGCATGCCACTGTAGGTCAGACGTATTTCTGAGTGGTTTTCCTCTCCTTCTGCTCCTCATGTATATTCAGAAATGCAGGTGGCTGACTGCAAATCCACATCATCTTCTGGCTTCACCCTTTCTGTGAATGAAAAAAGCTAACTCAAATATGGCAGTGCAGGCCCATGGGCTACGCAGGATACCTGCATAGAGCTGAGTAAGCCCGCAGTAACAAAGCAGCATGCAGGTGTTCAAACAATGTTTTTGGGCTTTTCCAGTATGGCATTGTTCTGGATGTTGGCCCATCCCGCACCATCCTTTTCATCTACCAGTGGAACCCCACCAATGCAAACAAGACCAGGGTGATCAGGGACTGCAGTTCCTGTCCCATACAAGGTAAGGTGCCCAATTTGTGCTTGGTGGTCTGTGGGACTGGCATTGGATGGGTGGAAACCTAGAGAACTGGGCATGGACCATCGCTGCAGTTTCCTTGGCTTCTGTATCACCTAGCTGTACACTGAAACAGCAGCGACAGCGAAGCACAGGCTGCTTATTTTCGGCATGGGTCTTCTCAACACGGGCAGATTTAGCCATACACAGCTGGATGTCAGAGCACTCAGCAGTAGCAGGTGACAGGGTTTTTTTGCCTGCTGCAAGCAGAGAAGTGCACAGAGGGGCTGGGGCGGGTCCTGATGTCCATGTGGATCAGTGGCAGGGCCAAGGTTGCTGAGCTTCTCACCTAGGCGAGACAGTGAACAGCAACGGAGACAAATCTGGCTGCAGAGTGACTCCTGGTACCTTCTGCCTTCTCCTGACTGTATGCTGGGCAGTAAGTGGTGTAGCTCCAGGACAACAGAGGTGCAAACACTCCAACCCCCTATGCGAGGTTTGACAGCATAAGAATGTGTTCTGTTTGGTTTTAGGTGTCATGTTTTGGAGAATATTGCGGTCTTCCTCATTAGTTTAAATCACTTTGACCCTGCCAAAGGCAGCTGAAAGGGTTCCATGCATTAATGCACGGGGTTTTCCTTCCCTATCTCTCAATCTTGCTTTGATATTGAAGCCTGGTTACAGCAGGATGCTGGGAAAGACTGAACTCTCAGTAGCAGTGTTCTGTGGGAAGGCAGCTGCACAACAAGCAGGGAGGGGGGCTTGTGCCCTTGCAGACTGTAAGCAATACAAACCACATACAAAAGATGCAGTAAGAGCTCCCTGAAACCTTGTGCACATCCCTTGGCTGCTGCCATGTTCACTGGCTGGGTTAAAAACAGCAAGTGTAGCTCAGCGCAGCGGTTTGTTGGCAGCAGCAGCAGCAAGAGGTCCAGGCAGGTCTCTTGCTCAGATGTGAGAAGTTGTCCTCTGTCTGCATGGTGGTGCGGTCACAGCCTTTGAGTGGCCACAGGCAAGCTGTGGCTCATCCCAGGGTTGCAAAGCACATGGTGAGTCAGTTGTGCAGCCAGGAAGACGAGCGGGCCAGAGGATGGGGAAGCGAGGCTTACTCTGGGTGGTAGTTCAAACCCATCATTTAAGACCCCATTGAATCTTGCTGGAAAGATGAGTCAAAGCTTGCACACAGCTTCTCTCTGCACAGCACCCGCTTCCTCTAGAGCAGAGGAGCCTTGCTTGCAGGCGCAGGGCTCGGAAGCCACCTCCACCAGCAAAAGAGGAAGTGGCTGGGGGAGAGCGCTGACACATCATCCTCGGCTCTGTCTGGCAGCATGCCCTTCTGCTTATCTTTATAGTGGCTAAAGCCATATTTCTTCTGCGGGCTGAGACAGCCTCAGCTGTTGCAGCAGTCTTTTGGCTGATACGTGGTCATTTATGGGATGCCTTGGCAGCAGAGCTACCGTTCTCTTTGTGTGATGTAGGATTTACATGTGTGTGCTGTTTTGCTCCCCGCACCGTATTTTAGCAGGATGGCTACCTGGAGGAACTCCTTCATTCTGCCTTTGACAGGTCCTGTCTTTAACCATGCCCTGGGACAGCAACCTCTTAGGTAACGGCTCTCACACCTCACCCACATCTTTCCTTAGAAAATTTCATTCTTTCCCTTGGTCCTCAGGTCTAGGAGTCTCCAACTACTCAGGTTCTCCTCAGAAAATAGGGAAGAGCTTGGAGCCATGTTTGAACTGGGCCCAGAAGTTGATCCCGGCAGAGCAGCACAGCCAAACCCCCCTCTACTTGGGAGCAACCGCCAGCACAAGGCAGCTGAAGTGAGTGAACGTTGCAAACCCACACCCAGAGATCAGGACACATCACATGCATCATTCTGTAAATGCATCTCACCTTGTCTGCTCTGCAGTGTTTCATGCCTAATCCGCTAGCCAGGTAAACCTTCTTCAGGTCCTCAAGTGCTCAGGGGAGTGCAGCACAGCTGTGTCTCCGTACTGTCCCACCCGGCAGCCACAAGGATGACAGTCTTGCTACTGCTACCAGCCTGTGTAAACTCTCCTTCACAATTAGAGCTTGGAAAAACATTTGTCAGTCTGGAAGCTGAAGCATTTCCAGTTTATGTGACAACCCACATGGGCTTGCAGGGGTGCTTCTTGCCAGCAGGTTGGGAGCAGTGCTGGGAAGATCCACCTTATCATACATGCTCTTGTAGATCCTGCTCTCAACCACCTCATTACTGGGACCTTTATCTCCTTTTAGACACTGGGGAAAAGTAAGGTCTGGAGGGGGCCAGGTCAGTGGGGCAAGGCCACAGGATCCCTTGGTGGCAGAAGGTACCGAACTCCTAAATTCTTGAATGGTGTCACGACTGCTCAAATCATCCCTCTGCCATTCTTGCCCCCAGTGCCGTATGAGGGGAGAGGGGAATAGCAGCAGGAGCAGGATCATCATTGTGTGCCTCTGTGCCATTACCCAAAGCGGGGAGCACAGCAGAAGCCTGGCAGCTGTGCCCCCACCACAGGCTGCTCCTGGCAGGGTCCTGTAACAACAAACGTGCCTTCTGTTTCTTTTCTGTTTAGCCTCACCCATCCCACGCTCTCTGACGATCTCCTTGCAGCCCTGACTGTGGCCCTGCAGTCATCCCCCTTTGACTTTCAGGGGGCACAAATCCTGTCCAGTCCAAAGAAGGAAGCATTCAACTGGGTTGCTGTTAATTATGTCCTGGAGAACTTCTTTAAGGTAAAGGACAATCCTGCCTGGGGAGTACAGAACTGAGCTCAGCAACTCCCATTAAGCAAACAGCTACACAGACACGTGGAGGGGTCATTAAAGCTCTGAACTTTAAACAATGCTTAAGCACAACTTCCACTGTCTTTTAGAGAAGGTAGGTTATATCCAACACCAGCTGGCAGCGGGGCATGAAATGGTTAAAATTAGGCTGAAGAATCAAACATCTAATATAGCCTTCCATGGACATGTTCAAAGAATCATAGAATTTTTTAGGTTGGAAAAACCTTTAAGATCATCAATTCCAACCATTCCCCTAACCCTGTCATCCCACCACTAAACCCTGGCCCTAAGCACCTCCTCTGCCCGGCTTTTAAATCCCCCCAGGGGTGGGGACTCGACCCCTTCCCTAGGCAGCCCCTTCCAGTGCTTGACAGCACTTTTGGGGAAGGAATTTTTCCCAATGTCCAATCTAAACCTGCCCTGGCACAACTTGAGGCTGTTTCCCCTCGTCCCATCGCCCGTTCTCTGGGGGCAGACCCCGCCCCCCCCCGGCTCCCCCCTCCTGTCAGGCAGTTGTAGGGAGCGATAAGGGCTCCCCTCAGCCTCCTCTTCTCCAGGCTGAACACCCCCAGCTCCCCCAGCCACTCCCCAGCAGCCTTGGGCTCCAGACCCCTCCCCAGCTCCCTTGCCCTTCTCTGGACACACCCCAGCAACTCAACATCTTTCCTGTAGTGAGGGGCCCAATACAGTTGGCCTAGCAGATGTGAGGCTTTCTGGGCAGGATGCTTACATAGCCCAGCCCTGGAGTGTCAACAAAAACTCCACTGCCCTGAGCCTGTGCAGCTCTAGCTCAGCACCACTGGCAAACAGGCTGAGACCAGAGCCTCAAACAGCCACCCAGGGTGGTGAGCCCTGTTTGCTCTGGCTGGCTGTGGGGAGCTCTCTGCGCAGAAGTCTATGCCCATGCAGTGGCTCCTCTGTTCCTTCCAAGGCCACCAGTTCAGTATCCTTATGCCCTGTGGGCAAAAAAAAAGTTGGGCTGTACTGTAGCAGAAAGCTGTTTTCTGTCTGTATGCAATAATGCTTGCATCAGACCATGGCCCAGATGTAGAAGTCTTAAGAACTGACCTCTCTGGTTCTTTTTGGGTCAGTACGACTGGCAAGGACAGTTGGTCCCCCCCAGGAAGGGGATGGAAGGAGTCCTGTCCCTGGGAGAAACCTCAGCACAGCTCACTTCCAAGGTAGAAGGGAACCAGGCACTAAAAGAGAGAGTGAGGCTGCAGCTGTACGGGCAAACACACAACGTATACACTCATCACTGCCCCTGCCACGGCATGGACCAGCTCCGCAGCAGGCTGCTTTCTATGCTCATTCAGGTGAGTATCTGCCAGAAGGGCATTTGCAAGGCTCCTGGACACAGTATCAACCCTCTGCACCCAATGACAGATGCATAAAGCATAGCTGCTAATGGGCAAAATGTCAATCGCTGTCTTTATTTGCAGGCATTTGCATGTATCTAAAGAAGCCCAGCGCATTTGTCAAACATACTCTCTATGCTCAAATTGATTCCCTCCAAGCAGACACATGGGCACCCATTCCAGAGTTTCCCACTTGCATGCTCTGTTTGGCTCCTTACTTAACACACATGAGCACAAAGTTGCTCTCCAGAGGTGCTAAGATCACCTTCAGGGCAGAGCAAAGCAAAGACTTCCCTTGTCTCCTCTGAACTTGCTCCTCCATCCTAGAAGGGGAGCCTAAACAGCACCCACAAACCGACTGGGACCTTTCATTTGGGATATTTCTGTCCTTTGCTGACTTTAAGCACTCTTTAAAAGAGCAGTATTTCATTTTTAAAACGTACAGGTGTTTCAATTCTCCCAAACTGTATTTCACTTGAGGGGGGAGGTGGCAGGACCTGATGCAAAGTCAGGAATCGGTCTCCACCAAGACTGAATTTCTCAGAAATAAATTACTTACTGCCCATCCACTTGCCTCCCTATAAACCACGCCTCCCCTTATCTGAGACTTGAATGTCCCACATGGGGACCCACTTCACCCCAGTTATACTGGGGAATTCCTAGAGATGAGAAACACTAATTCTTGCAGGGCTGAGCCATTCGAAAGGTAGACAGGACCAGCCTCTTTCCTGCAACTAGAAAGAGTACAGGATTAATTGAAATTTTATTTCTGGCCTAAGTGAGAGCAGGTAGGGCTGGGACAACTCAGCCTTCCACAGCAGGTCCAGTCATTGAGCTTGCCCTGAACTCTGTGAGAGCTGGGAGCCTGCTGCATTGGTCTGGGCCTTGCAGTTGACCAGCCAAGATAGGCTGCAAAAGTTTTGCCAAGCCTTGCCTGCTCAATTACAACATTGCGGTGCCAGGGGAAACTGTTCCCTGTGTTATATTTTGTCTTCCCTTTGTGAAGCCCTGGAATGCCAACCTCCTCTCTTACTGCCTCTGTCCTTATTTTATTCTGCCTCTAGAATCAGAGCAGTGCTAAACCCGTGTATAATCCCTGCTGGCCTGTCACCTACACTCGAAAAGTGCAGTGGCAATCAGTGCATGCTGGGCCTTGTGCTGCCAGTAACGACACATCGGACATCCCTGGCCCTGAGGAGGTCTTCACCATCACCGGCTCCAGCAATCACACCGCCTGCGTGATACTTGTGCAAAGCCTGCTCAACTCTTCCACTTCCTTCAGCTTCTTCATGCATTCCCTCAGCGATGTTTTCAAGCCCCTCCCGACCAGGTTTCTGGTGGGTTCTCATTTACACTGGGGTAGGCAACTGGTAGGGAGAACCCATGAAATGGGACCAGTTTAGTCATTAATAAATACAGTGGGTACAGCCACACTGTGCCCTCTGCTAGCCAAGAGGGCCAGTGCTCTGGCTAATGCTGCATACACAATGCATCCTGGCAATGCGTCTCACAGCTACTGCTGCTTACTTTCCTACAGGCACTGTATGCAAGGATGCAGCGGCACAGTCCAACCTGATGACTATTTCTGCTGCTGTTGTAGGTGATTTCTGAGGCCATGGACTTCATGGGAGAAGCCATACCCCTTCCTGGCTTGGATCAGGAGGTCAACAGGTTTTGTGGGATGTCCGCCAAAGAGGTAACTGTGGAATGACTTAGGGTGCAGGGAGAGCGGGAAGCAAGGAACAGTCTGTTGTAAAAGCCCATATGGCTCAGCCTGACTGAGCCATAAGTTCCTGTCTCCCTCAGGGAAGAACTTGGAGTTGCCTGGGGTTTTATTTGTTTGTTTGTCGGTTCAGCTTTTTTGTTTTGTTTTTTTTCTACTTTGAGACAAAGAAACAAGCTCCACTCATTTTCCTTCCTCTCAAATCCCAACTGCTGTTGGTAACACCTGGACTTAATTAAACAAAAAGCCACAAGTACCTTTTGCTGCACATTGAGGAGTAAACAGGAAGGCATCTACTCACTCCTGTACATCATCTTGGTCTTCCTGTTATCCTCCTCTCCTTCAGTGCAAGGAACGCATCCTCTCAGACTCCAGGGACTTTCCCACTTCACTAGGGCCCATGGAGACCAAGTCAGGAGGGATTGGTATGTTCTTTCCCTCAGCTGGTGCCTTATGAGGTCACCCTCACCTACACTGACCAAGCATCCACAGTGACATTCAAATTGAACGATTTCCACAGGGTTTGCTAACGGGGTAGAAAAGGCCATAAGCAGTTCCCTAAAGCTTTCTCTTCTGGAGAGAAGAGAAAGATCTTGTTAGTGCTCCTATGAGAGAAAGGCTGCAGCATTAGCTCAACTTCATTAGAGAGCAGAGAATCATACCAAGCAGTTCACCCACAAGGAGACCTGGCTGCCAGTCCTGCTGCTCTTGGAACTGCCTGGTCTTTAATAAGATCGGAAAAAAGGCACTAGGAGGTGACACTGGTTCCCAGACCACAGGCCAGTGAGTGCAGGAAAGATGGTTTCAGGATGCAAACCCCTCCTCCAGTGCCAGTCAGTCCCAGAGCAGGAAAGGAGAGGTTATAGCAGGTCTGAAATTCAGCTATCAAATATTTACGTCTTTCCACGCCCCCCCCCCCCGCCCCCCACC